GCTGTTTTATCTGGCCTTGGGCTTCCTCCCCGCTTTTTGAACTTCATCATGTCCCTATACACAACACCAACGGCTAAAGTGAGATTAAACGGTCTCCTCTCAGATGCCTTTTTAATACGCAATGGAACAAGACAAGGATGCCCATTATCCTCCCCCCTATTTATCATCACACTTGAATCGTTTCTGCACTGCATTAAAAAAAAATGAAAGCATTAAAGGGATTGCAATTAATGGCAAAACACACAAAATCGCGGCTTTTGCTGACGACATCTTACTTTTCTTAACAGACCCACATATCACATTGCCTAACCTACTACATGACTTCAAGCTGTTTCAATATCTAGCCAATTTTAAAATCAACTTCAATAAATCTCAAGCCCTAAATATTTCCCTACCACAAGACACGCTTCGTCAAGCAAAACTTAATTTTCCCTTTACCTCGCAGTCCGTAGCCATCAGGTATCTAGGAATCCAACTACCGGCCCATCTTGCAGATCTTTATGCCCAGAACTTCTTACCCATACTCCGCAGCATCACTAAAGACCTGCAGACCTGGGATAAACCGCTCTTCTCTTGGTTCGGCAGAGCAGCTATTATTAAGATGAATGTGCTTCCTAGAATTCTATACCTACTGCAAAAACAATTCCAATTAAACTGCCTAATTCCTTTTTTAAGTCTTATAAAACTTTATGCACCTCGTTCCTATGGTGTAACAAATGCCCAAGAATCAGTTTCGACCAACTCACTATGCCCAAAACCAGTGGAGGTGTTGGGCTACCGGACATTGCCGCTACTATAGAGCATGCCAAATGGCCAGAATAGTAGATTGGTCTACGAATCATAGTCGAAAAGCGTGGGTTAACTTGGAGGCAGCTTTCTCGAAGACCCCACTTGCCTCGTCTCCTTGGCTGAAAAGTGTACACCTTCCTATTGAATTCACGGGACACCCTCTTATAGGCCTTACTTTAGCCTGTTACCATCAGATAATTAAGAAATCTGACTTCTCTTCTACCCCGGGCCCACTCTCGTCCATTACTATGAACCCGGACTTCCCCCCGGGTTTGTCACATGCATATCTTGCAGGATCCAGCCACCCAAATAATCTGAATATGCACCAACTCTTTAAAAAATGGGACATTTCTATCTAGAGACATCATTTTAAACAAGTGGCCTCTCCTGACCTTAACGCCATGGATGTATAGACAACTACACCAATTTGTTCATAGTTCTTCGCACATAAACAAATATACCAGACCTCTTACCCCATTCGAAAAACTCTGTTCTACAGATTCCCCCAAGAGACATGTTAGATCCCAGCTTTACTCTTGCCTTGAAAACACTATTGAGGTTCAGTCTAGGAAAGCCTGTATAGCCTGGAACTCTGACCTACAGCTCCAACTAATGCCGGAAGACTGGGATCACATCTACGCACTTATTCACAAGGGCTCCATATGTGTTTTCTACACAGGAAAGCAACTTCAAATTATACTCTAGATGGTACAGAGTTCCAGCCCTACTCCACCAGTTCGATCCACTATCTCGGACTCTTGTTGGAGATGCCACCTGGCTAAGGGTACACTCAGGCACATTTGGTGGGACTGCCCACTGCTGCAGCCTTTTTGGGGGAGGGTTCAATCCACAATTGCACGAGTGACCACGTATAGCTTGGAGCTCACCCCTGCACAATTTCTATTGCATCACTCTTCACTCCCATTCCGGACATACCGTAAATCACTCGCCATGCATATGGTTAATGCCGCAAAACAGTGTGTCCCAGTCCACTGGCGCTCGACAAATATTCCCACCATTCGTGAATGGTTTTGGATCTGTAGAATTGAGGAAATGGAGGAACTGATCTCTGTTGCCAAGGAACATCCCGAGAGATTCAGGGGAACTTGGGCCTGTTGGAGGCACTTTAAAAACCACCCCTACCTACCACCTACTAATGCAGCAATGATTGACTAGACATATCCTGATACTGGGGAATGTCCTCTTTTCTGAGATACCTCTTGATATATGCCTAGATATACCTTAGTCTTTCACCAAGATTGCTCCCTTAGAACCTGTATCCGCATATTACCCGGTTGACTGTCTTGATATGCACCACGTCCTGAGCTATAAGTAGGTATTTTTACTGTGGCTCATTTCACAGGTTGAGAGCCACTTATCCACAAACATTCACTCTTCCTTTCTGTTTTACTTCACCCTATGCCCTCCCCCCCCCTTTTTTTTTTTTCTTTTTTTCTTTACTTACGTTTATCACCTCATTATTCTACTTTCTAACTAACCTTCTCTCTACCTGATCTCTAGCTCCCACCTATACCCTACTCCTATCTTCGTTTTCGTACCATAACCGAGACAGAACACTGTCCTTCAAACAGACGTACTACGCCCCATATCACTCACACATCCAATTCTTAGACTCGTGAAACAGATCCAAAGCTTTAGCATGTGCTGTTCATATTCTTTATCATACACTTCACACTCCCATGACAGAAAATACTGCTCAAAGGTCAAAAGACAATATATCTCTGTGCGCATTTCGTATATGCTGTACACTTCCTGGATTGTAATATTATGTTGACACAATGTTTTACAACATTATGTTTTGTATTGCCTGTTATGCTTTGACCCGTCTGCGACACGGGAAGCGCCATACAGTGATATGTCCAACCTTGGATTCATGTCTGTATATGTATTGTTATGACTGCTTTCTTCTAATAAAAATCTTTTTTGGAAAGAAAGCCCAAAGAAAAAATAGCTGAGACTCAAATTAAAAGGGATCTCATAAAGTTTGAATCCCCAGAAAGCAGTTATGCTGAAGTTGTTAAAAACTCCAGACCTCTCAGAATAAGCCCATACCCAATTCAGATTTCAAGAAGGTCCCTGTCACTAAAAACTCAGACAAAAAGCCTCAAATTTGCTAAATGACACTCCCCTAATAACAGGAGAAACCAGGGAGGTTATTAACGGAATTACAGGTCTAACCAGAAAAAGATCCAATCTGGTTCTGCAACAGAAGGTTTTGCCAGATCTCAGGTTTCTAATTTCAGAACTCCAAATCCAGGAGTTCATTGGAAAAATAGATGTAATCTATATAAACGCATGAAGCAGATGCAAGGTCAGTTCAGTGCGTTAGCAGAACAAATGGAGAAAATAACTTCTTCACTGCTAACACCAAAAATCCTTTTTAGGGAATCCCACTCCTGTGGGAAATTCTCCTCAATAGAAAGCAAGAATGAACAGGTTAAAGCATCAAGCAATGCTAATGCCTGTAATGTACCAATAAACAAAAGTGTGCAAATTAACCCAAGTGTCTGTATGCCTGAGAAGAATTTAACCTGTCGTGTGCCAAAAAGCAAGGGGGGCAGAACGTTTGTTTCTGTTTCACAGCCCACAGAATCCTCCACAATGAAAACATGTGACAGGCAGTCCAAAGAGTGTGCATGTGAAAAAATGGGGGGTCAGTGGAGAAGACAAAGCACAAAAATAGTTTCCCTTTGCATCCAAGGTATCTCTGTCCATTACATAAGATTATTACATTGAAGTGGAATTACATAATAATTTACCAAAAACCCATGGCTTTATTAGACACGGCAGTCAAGCAACTATTTTAACTCAAAAATACTTCTAACAAATCCAAGATTTATCTTCAGAAAAATATAAGCTGAAAAGTTTCACAGCTAAACTTGTAAGTGTTCACAGTACAGCCATGAAGGTATTAGGTACAGTTTGGCTACATTTCAAAGTGGGAAACAAAATAATCTGCCATCCCACATTTACAGTTGATTTGCCCCATGATGGCCTAATTATTGGTATACATCTCCTTAAGAGATTAAATCCTGTTATTGATTTCATCAGTAATGTTATATGGCCACAAGTAAATGTGCCAATTAATTATGAGGTGGGACCCAGGACGCCGTTGACACCAAGCCGCCGGTGCCACGAGGAGGCCCGGCGGCCATTTTGACTTCCAAAAGGGTCAGTGTGTTTGCTCATACTTGGCTATTCCATTGTATTCTGCACCTGTGCTGTTCTCAATAAAAGTTTTAATTACTACACTATGAGTGCTCCCCTATGTCTCCTGTGAGGAGCTTCTCCCATCTTTTTAGCCCTTGGGGATTCCTGTGCCAGTTCCTTGGAGGCTCACTTCGATCGCTATTGCTCTGACCTGCTGAATCACTTCTCAACTCATGAGGGCGTAGGATCTCCATCCTTCCCAGCCACATACCTGACCAGACTTAAGTGGAGAAAGGATCTTCAGGATATATATACACATATGCGCATTACCTATGCGCGTTCTGGTTAGTGCGAAATTTTACCATTTACACTGGGAAACAAGGAGCACTGTTTTTTACTGGACTGTGTTTATCATTACCATTTTTCATTTTTTTGAGCGTTGCATTTTTTATATCCATACACAGGCCTAGGTTTAAAAGTCCCTCACAGTTAATTCCAATAACGAACTCTACTCCTCCGTGCAATCTACTTACGAGACCCTGGGCAGGTCTGGGTCCAATTTGTGGTAGAGACTGGTTTTGTTCAGCCATGCTTGAGCGAGTAATAACAGGTCTGTGCTGCCCTTTGGTGTCTGGTTTAATGCGCACAACACTGAACGTCCCAGCGTTTGTCAACGATTTGCCGTTAAGTGATGCAAACCCGCTGAACCACGTTCATGAGGAGCCGGTACAGGGGGCCATGAATCAGTATGGACCTGGCAGCAGCGCGAGCAGACAACAGAGGCACATGGCGCAGGGTGGCGGTGTAGGCAGCATTATTCTGAAGCCATACACAGGCCTAGGTTAAAAAGCAGAAGCCGTCAGCAGCGTGAGCAGACGACAGAGACACATGGCGCAGGGTGGCGGTGGATGCAGCAGTATTCGGAAGCCAAACACAGGCCTCGGTTAAAAAAGCGGAAGCCGTCAGCAGCGTGAGCAGACGACAGAGGCACATGGCGCAGGGTGGCGGTTGGAGGGCAGCAGCAGCAATGGAAGGCCATACAGCACCCTATCACAAAATGGAACCCACCAACAGTGTAAGGAGACCTGAAAGTGGCACATGGCAGAGTCTGGCGATGAAGTCAGCAGCAATGGGAGGCCGTACAGGGACCCATGACACACTCTGGACCTGGCAGCAGCAAAGAGGAGGTGGTACAGGGGCCCATGGCAGAGTGGCGAAGCGTAAGCAGCTTAAATTGAAGGCCATACAGAGGCCTAGGTTAAAAAGTCCCCCCAGCAGCAGTGTGGGGAGACGACTATCAAGAGTCCAATGGCAGAGTGGCGGAGCAGAAGCAGCTTCAATTGAAGGCCATACACAGGCCTAGGTTAAAAAGTCCCCCCAGCAGCAAGCAGCGTGGGGAGACGACTATCAAGAGTCCAATGGCAGAGTGGCGGAGCGGAAGCAGCTTCAATTGAAGGCCATACACAGGCCTAGGTTAAAAAGTCCCCCCAGCAGCAGTGTGGGGAGACAACTAACAAGAGTCCAATGGCTGAGTGGCGATCCGGGAAGTCAGCGTTGTGATTGCAGATGCAATGCAGAGATTCTATGAGGTGATGCCGTGGGTGCGAAGAAGATCATATACCGTCGTACTTCCATCCATAAGACGGAACAACCTGCGAACCGGGAGCTTTTATTGCCCTGACCGCTGAGCAGCTTCTGGGATACCCAAGAGGCCCATGGCAGAGTGGCGGAGCGTAAGCAGCTTCAATTAAAGGCCATACAGAGGCCTATGTTAAAAAGTCCCCCCAGCAGCAGCGTGGGGAGACGACTATCAAGAGTCCAATGGCAGAGTGGCGGAGCGGAAGCAGCTTCAATTGAAGGCCCATACACAGGCCTAGGTTAAAAAGTCCCCCCAGCAGCAGTGTGGGGAGACGACTATCAAGAGTCCAATGGCTGAGTGGCGATCCGGGAAGTCAGCGTTGTGATTGCAGATGTAATGCAGAGATTCTATGAGGTGATGCCGTGGGTGCGAAGAAGATCATATACCGTCGTACTTCCATCCATAAGACGGAACAACCTTGCGAACCGGGAGCTTTATTGCCCTCACCGCTGAGCAGCTTCTGGGATACCCAAGAGTTTGGCTTCTGTGGGGAATATGGTTTGAAAACTGAAACTTAAAGGCATGTTGACGGAAGGGCACCAGTGTCAGTGCTCCGGAGGGAATATAGCTTCAAAGCTGACACTTAAAGGTATATCGACGGTCAGAGACCACAGGAAGTGGAGCTTGCGTCTTAAATCGACTGAATGTGGCAGACGTGAAACGTCTACGGGCCGTATATGAAACGGGTTGTTCCTCTTTCTGGAATAAGTGTTGGAAATGGCCACTCTTTTTGGTGTGGCGTTTTGTCTATTTAATTCCGATAACGGACTCTACTCCTCCGTGCAATCTAGTTACGAGACCCTGGGCAGGTCTGGGTCCAATTTGTGGTAGAGACTGGTTTTGTTCAGCCATGCTTGAGCGAGTAATAACAGGTCTGTGCTGCCCTTTGGTGTCTGGCTTAATGCGCACAACACTGAACGTCCCAGCATTTGTCAACGATTTGCCGTTAAGTGATGCAAACCCGCTGAACCACGTTCATGAGGAGCCGGTACAGGGGGCCATGAATCAGTATGGACCTGGCAGCAGTGTGAGGAGACCCGAAAGTGGCACATGGCGCAGGGTGGCGGTGGAGGCAGCAGTATTCGGAAGACATACACAGGACTAGTTTAAAAAGCGGAAGCCGTCAGCAGCGTGAGCAGACGACAGAGGCACATGGCGCAGGGTGGCGGTGGAGGCAGCAGTATTCGGAAGCCATACACAAGCCTAGGTTAAAAAAGCGTAAGCCGTCAGCAGCGTGAGCAGACGACAGAGGCACATGGCGCAGGGTGGCGGTGGAGGCAGCAGTATTCGGAAGCCATACACAGGCCTAGGTGTAAAACTGGAACCCAGCAGCGTGAGCAGACGACAAAGACGCACATGGCAGAGGATGGATCTGGCAGCAGTATGAGAAGGCGGTACAGGGGCCCGTGGCACAGTGTGGTGATGGGGGCTACAGCAACTGGATGCCAGAAAGTGGCCGATAGGGGCTATATACTGCATGGAATTATAAAGTTGTAAAGACAGCGGCCTATAAGGCTATACACACTATAACAATCATGACTTGATTGACCATTGGCCTATAAGGCTATACACAGCATGAATATCATGACTTATTCTGAGAGTGGTTTGGAAGGCTATATACAAAAAAGTAATTCATGAGCTGTCCGGACAGCGGACAATAAGTACATATATACAAATCAATTTATCAGCTGTCCAGCCAGCGGCCTCAAAGGCGACACATATAGAAAGCAATTCATGAGCTGTTCAGACAGCGGCCTCTAAGGCGACAGATTATACAAAGCAATTCCCGAGGTGTTCAGGGAGCGGCCTGAACGGCTAGGTTATTACTAAATATATTTTTGTGGCCAAACATCGGCCTATAAATAGATGTCTACACAGTGACAAAAAATTATGTCGCCAGACAGCGCCCCCTAAGGCGACAGATATACAAAGCAATTCCCAAGGTGTTCAGTGAGCGGCTTGATTGAACGGCTAGGTTATTACTAAATATATCTTTTCTGGCCAAACACATCGGCCTATAAATAGATGTCTACACAGTGACAAAAAAGTAGGTCGCCTTACAGCGGCGTATCCTACAAATTGACATTATAAGAAATGGTTTAGACCAAAAAAAAAAAAAAAAAACTTTGATGCGATGCTATACCTTAGTAGATTGTGGAAAGTCGACAAGTCAAGGTAACTGTGTACATTACAGAAAATGTTAACAAGACAACCAAAACATGTGGCCAAACCGTGACCGATACAACAAGTTAACAATGTAAGAAACAGGAGGGGGCCAAACCGTGGCCAATAAATAAACAGTCCGCCTCATTGATGAGATGGACAACACGTGTCAAATAAATATTTAAAAAAAAATTGCTATTCCATCGGTCTGGAACTGGTCGACTATAAATAATTAAAAAGTTTAAATTCATGTGACAGTCGTCCAGCGACGTATAAATAATTTAAAAACACCAATTCATGAGGGGCCCGACCAGCAGAGTATAAGTCATTAAAAAGGTTCAATTCATGTGACGGTCGTCGAGCAAAGTATAAATAATTTAAAAACCCCAATTCATGAGGGGCCCGACCTGCAGAGTATAAGTCATTAAAAATGTGCAAAACATGAGTCGGCCCGAGCAGCAGCCTCTCAATAAAAATATATATACAAATGTACGGAATCAGGTGGAGGTCTTCCATTTGTCCCTAATAACATGTTTGGGGCATGATTCATGGCGGATTTAGTCAGTTGTGTCAGGAACTGGTGGTTTGAAATCCAGACTAATCCACGCCTGATTCATTTTCACAAAACGTGAGTCTCTCCACACTTTGGGTGGACAGTCGTGTCCTACGCGGAGTTACAATACCTCCTGCCGCACTAAACACGCGCTCCGATGCCACGCTACTGGCCGGGCATGACAGCCTTTCAAGGGCAAATTCAGCTAGTTGGGGCCAAAGGTCAAGTTTCGTTGCCCAGTAGTCAAGGGGATTGTCTACCCGTCGGTTGGCAGGGTGCTGTCCAAGTAGGCCCAAGCCTGTTGTTTGAGGTCCTGCTCAGGTCCACACTGATGTGCTGCTGCTGCTGCGGCTGGTTAGTAGTTTCCTCACTGCGCTGGTGAAGAAAGCTACTCATCATCGACTGCAGACTGAGGCAGCCACTGCTGGTGGAGCTGCCACTGCTCCTACCACCCCACCCCTCCCCTGCTGCCATGGCAGCGGAACGCGAGCGCACAGGGCCCACAGTGTCTGAGGATGGACGTTGGCGCAGAAAGGCAGAGACCAACTGACTACATAGGTGGTTTTTATAGTACTTATTTTGGCCTCCCTCTCAGCAGGTGTGAAAAAAGGCCACCCATTTTTGAACAGGTAGCGAGGGTTCCAACAAGGTGGACAGCCAAAAGTCATCCCTCTGTTGATGGTTATTATTCGGCTGTCGCTACGCAAGCAACCGAGCATGCTATGGGCCATTTGTGCCAAGGAATGCGAGGGACTCCCTGCCTCCATCTCACACAGCATACTGCCACGGTGCGTCTGGGTCCTCTGTCTCCTCCTCCTCCTCTACCAGATGCTCCTGCTCCTCCACTCCTGTCCGCTGAGTGGAAAAACCACCCATTTCACTCAATAATTCCTGAGCACCAATGTCCTCCTCTACCTCCTCCTCTTCTTCCTGTCCTGCCCCCACAGGGGTTCATGTGGGCGTTGAGAATCTGTGCGCCACGTCTACCGCACCCTGACCAGCCATTGTTAACAGCATTTGTTCCAGGACGTGCAACAGAGGAATGACGTCGTTCATCAAATAGTCCTGCCGACTCACGAATAGCGTGGCCTCCTCAAAAGGCTGAGCAAGCGGCAGGTGTCACGCATGAGCTGCCAATGGCTGACATCTAAGTTACACAGGGGAGTACCTTTATTCCGCTTTTAACATCAGGAAATTGGTGATGGCCTTTCGCTGTTCGTAAAGGCGGTCTAACATATGTAGGGTTGAATTCCACCTTGTTGCAACGTCGCAGATCAGGCGATGCTGTGGAATTCCGTTCTGCCGCTGCAGCTCAAGGAGGGTGTGCTTTGCGGTGTAGGAATGGCTGAAATGCATGCAAAGTTTACGTGACATTTTAAGGATGTCTTGCAGTGGGATGGTGGATTTTAGGAACCGCTTGACAACCAGATTGAACACGTGAGCCATGCATGGCGCATGGCACAACCTTCCTTGACGCAGAGCAGACCACCATGTTCTTTCCGTTGTCGGTCAACATGGTTCCGATTTTCAGTTTGCGCGGAGACAGCCATCTGTCGATTTCTCTGTTCATTACACTCAGAAGTTCCTCCCTGTGTGACTACGTTCGCAAGGCATACCAGGTGCAGCACAGCGTGACACCGTTGCGCCCTGCACATGTGATATGCCGGTCGGGTAATGGGACTTGGCACGGGGGGTGGCGGCACTGAGGGACACGGCGGAAGAAGAGGTGGTAGAGGCGGACATCTTTGCTGGACCAAGGACGTGCAAACGTGGAGGCAAAAGCGGCGTGACCTGTCCAAGTTGCTAGTGCGGCTGTGCCGGCACCACGTTCACCCCAGTGGGCCATAAATGACATGTACTGTCCCTGACCGTAGTTACAGCTCCACACGTCGGTGCTGCCGTGCACTTTGGCAGAGACCGACATGCTCAAAGACTGGCCCACCATCTCTTCTACATGTGAATGCAGGGCTGGCACTGCCTTTTTGGCGAAGAAATGCCGGGTTGGCACTCTCCACCGCGGCTCGGCACAAGCCATCATTTCTCGGAAAGGTGCTGAGTCCACCACTTGGAAAGGGAGGGACTGCAGCACCAGCAACTTGGACAGGAGGACGTTCAGCTTCTGCACCGTCGGGTGCGTGCTCGCAAATGTTGTCTCTTGGAAACGGATTCCAAGAAAGACTGCTGACGGAATCCGTGAAGAGGAGTAGCAGGAGAAGGAGCATCTGAACGAGCGGAAGATGCCAACGAGCGACAACTCCCCTCAGCAGAGGTGTTGGAGCCTTGACTGGCTGATAGAGGGCGATTGACGTCGGGTGACGGAGCAAGTAACGGAGCGCGGGTGATGGAGCGGGGGTCCTGGGGCAGGCAGAAACCGCCGTATCTTTATCACGGTTTTCCCAGGCCACCGAATGGCGACGCTGCATATGCTGACGCAACGCTGTAGTCCCAACATTGCCCCCCTGGCCACGCTTGACTTTCTGGCCACATAGTCGACATACGGCTACGTTTACTTCCTCGGGCGTCTTGACAAAAAATTGCCACACCGCCGAGTAGGAAACTTTGCCCCCACTAACTCCTCACTGGCTGACTGCTACTTCCTCCGTGCACACCGGCACCACTACTGGCCGTGGTGGTAGGCTGCAGTGGAGCTGGTGCTCTACTCCGTGGCCGTTTGGCTCTACTGACACTGCTGCGACCCTGCTGCCTCCTGGGCAACCCACCGACTGTTTTGCTCGCTGGCAAGCTGGCACCCTCTTCTCCTGATGATGCGGAAGCAATAGCCTGATGACGACAAGGCTGCCAGTGCGATCAGCCTCATCATCATCAATTAGGGTCTCCGCGTCACTACTAGCCTTCTCGGCTGCGTGTGGGTCAGGAGACAGACCTGTCTCTAGACCGGCTACCGAGCCACTCTCCTTGCCAGTACTTCTTTGCCCTGGCTGCTGAAGAGGCGGATGTCTCCCCCCGTTCCTGACCGCCCTCTGTTAGCTCTTCCTCACTGTACAGTGGGGCTGAGCCCACAGCATGTGATACTTCGCTTGGTGAGGGAACACCAAAGGACAGGGGGCAGGTCGAGGACACGTGATTTCAGTGGGCTTGCTCCCGGGCCATGCCAACTAACGGTTGTGTCTGACGTACCCACCGACCGTTGGCTGTAGGTGTCAGAGGTGACCTGGGAAGAGGAAGACGACCGAGTCAACCAATCGATGACGGCAGGGTTGTCGGTGGAGACACGACCGCTGGATGACACCGGGAGCACTGCCTCTGGCTGCAACTAGTGCTGCCTCGACCCCCTTCCTCTGCTGCCACGTCTGCTCGCTCCTGAAACATTGCCTCCTCTGCCACTCCTATGCGTGTTGTCTGACATACTCTTTAATTCAATAAGCACCCCAAAATAAAAACCGGATTTAACTCTTTGAACATACAATAGTGGTTGTGAAGCAGAAAGTCAGTTTATTTAGCACAATCGGTCAATTGCAGCTTGCCGTTGGCTGGAAACTGTACGTTTATGTCAATGGAATGCACTAATCAACCAAAAAAATATTACCGCCAGCTGGCGTGTAAATGGATTTAACTCTTTGAACGTACAATAGTGGTTGTGAAGCAGAAAGTCAGTTTATTGTACACAATCGGTCAATTGCA